TTGCAACAATATTCCGGATTTACTACAGGGTTGAGAGGCAGGAGTGGCAAGCATTCTGGCCGGATGTTGTTTTGATTGACGCTCATCACGTTGCTCTCAAGACAAGCTTAATGATAAAAAAGGGTTGACGGGCTGGGAAAACGGCCTGCTCTTGGCATCTCATGCGGAGTCATCGGGATGAAAAATAGAGAAACAGCTCCCAAGACGTTGCGTTGCGTTGCGTCAACTCATGTGAAGAGCCGGTTTGTGCAACGGCAACAGCCGGTCAACTCTGGACGATAACTTTTTTTTGACAACTTCAGACAACTCTCAACTTTGTGTCGTGTGCGTTGCAACCTTCAGGCAGTTGCCGCTTGGCGATGCCGACACAACTAGTACTGAGTGCCAGAGTGGCATCCCAGAGTGGCATTTTGACCATTCACAATTTAGCCACGAAAATCAGTGTGGTGAATGATTGACCGTCCGCCAGGCTTTCGGGTCGGGCATCAGTCCGAATTGGAAATGGAGCAGAAACTGTTCAAAGTTGAGTTCAGCCCAGGCAAGTCGGCCCCAGAGATCCCATATGATCGCAATTCAACACAACGCAACGCACCGCTAGATAGAGTTCGTCACTGCAGCCCGACTCGACTCGGGGCGGTTGGCTTTGTGGCACCCATGGAAACGCCGCGAGCGAAGCTCTCCCGCAGTCGCCGCAAAGCTCCTGGTCTGGCGTCTGCCGCTAGGTTCGGCGTCGTCGACATCGCTTGCAGCGGCGGCCGTGCGAAAGGGTTACGCACGTCAAGTTTGAAGGTAGCTGTCAGCGACTCGTTAGCCTCCTCTATTGGGCCCTGCTTTGCTGCTTGTTGCTGTTGGGTTGGTGTGCTCTGACAGTATCTCTCCATCTTGTCTTTTCCCCCCATCTTGGTTGTGGGCTTTTTGCGAGGGGATCGGACGGCGGCGGCGTCAAAGAGACGGCACGGCATCGATAGGGGAATGGGGCATCAGGGGCGCCGGGATACTGTTTCTTGGAGGAGGAGGGGGAAAGACTCCATATTGGCATGGCATGAGGGTGTGAGAAATGTGAGATGTGTGAAGGGGGTGTAAGAGGAGGGGGGGGGGGGGGGGGGGGAGCAGGGGGGGGGGGGTGGGATGTGTGGGGGGGGGGGGGGGGGGGGGAGTAAGGGAGGGGGGGGGGGGGGGGGGGGGGGGGGAGGGGGGGGGGGGGGGGGGGGGGGGGGGGGGGGGGGGGGGGGGGGGGGGGCAGGGAAACAGACAGTCGGAAACAAAGGCTAATTTCAATATGATCTTCAGTTTAGCTCGGGCGCCAGGAAAGCCCCCCTCGCTTGCGCAGGGTGGCTTGAACCTTGCAAGGATAGGGTCACAGGGGAGGAAGAGACCAAGTCTGGTCTTTGGTGTCGGCTCTCTCTCTCCTTCTGCCCTCTCTGCTCGGATTCTCGCTCTCTGAGTTTGAACGGCCCATGGATGTGCGCATGTGTGTTGTGTGGTCATCGTCTTGGCCTGGTGCTTGCTTTCCCTAAACATTTGATCCCACCCCGGCCCCGGCCATGATGTCTCGCACATACCTTGTCCACTGCAAGGTGCCTCTGCCTCTCTCTGGCTCCTACGACCCTGGTTCATGAGGAAGGGGTCCGTGATCGACCTGGAGACGAGGGTCGAGAAAGATGGGAGGAAAAGGGTTTGGGAATGGGATGCAGACGGAACGGCAACGGAGTTCCTGGGAAAGGCCCGGGGTCAAGACTCAAGGGGGGTTGGGGAATCCCTTCCATGTGAGGGCCAAGGCATGAAGAAGGCCTCAAGTTCCGAGAGCTTCTCAGGCACAATTGTGCAACAGAATGGCTTCGGATGAAGCGGTGACTCGTCCGTTATTGCTTGCCAAAGACCAAATGACAGGCTCCGTCACGTCTTGTCCCGCCGATGTCGTCCCAAGTCTTCCGCCGTGACAGCTCCGGTCGCTCTGATGTTTTGCCACTGCTTTAATATGCTTATGGCAGCAAGTTTCCTCCCTCCTCATTCATGTGGGTGCATGGATACCAGTCTTTGGAAGTGAGTGGTTGTTGTTGATCAGAGAGTTTCGGAGTGGGTGTCTGTGTCTGTGTCTGCGTCTGCGACGACACTGATAGCATTTGCATTCCCGTTCGCATTTTGCATGTCTGCAACTCTGCATTTTGCCATGTGCGCTGCCCTGTGACAGAAGAGCCTCCCTGAGACTTGACGACAACTTGGCATGGCACTTGGAGAAACGACGACCACGTAATACCCTCCCCAGACCCCCGAGAGGCTTGAGGCTTGCTTGCCTTGGTACGCTTGCAAGGCTCGGGGAACGGGGAAACGGGCAAACGGGGGAACGTTGAGACAAAGTGCAGACTTCAGACTTCGCTTGAGAAAATGGCTGGCGACGGCGTCGTCTAGTGTCTCCGTGTCAAACTTCGCGAACGACTTTAGCGTCCTAGCACGTGAAGAAGCAGAGACAGAGAGAGAGACATGAACACCTGTGGTGCGTCCAGTATAGCTGGGAGCGAGAGTCTTAGTTGGAGCGTCCCCGCCGCCAGTGAAGACTTTCTCCCTCGGTCCACACTATGTTAGTAGACGTAGACGGGCCGTATGTGACGAGAGGACTTGTGAGGCTTGCGTGGCTTAGAGGAGGAACCGCCCGGCCGTTGCTTGCTTTTTCCCACCACCGGTGTCCATGGCCCATGTTCCCAGACGAAGCCATCACCAGAAACGAAATGGAATGGCTACCGCTATGCCGCGTGCTAACACCGAACAAGTTGTCTGTTCCGTCGCGAAGCACGCTAGACTCACACCAGAACCACCATGGAATCCTTTAGTGGTTGCCAACGCCTTGCTTGCGACTGGCACTTGCACATTGCTGGGCCGCTGGCCGACACAATGCAACGATGAGCCCGTCCACACACTCTGTCGTAGTCCGTCCGCATCTGAGGGTATCAGTGCTATGCTCAGTATGCTGAGCGATGTCTCTCTCTACGAATGAGAGTCTGCTCACTTGAACCCTGTTCTGCCCTGCTGGACCATGCTTGCGGATGAAAGTCCCGCTGCAGCGAGCGCGTTGTTGCTCACCGTTGTGGGATGACCCCCCAATCTCCATCTCCCATCGGTGTAACATCTCGTTCATTCACCAATCGGCAGCAGCTGGTTGTCCCCCCCGCCGTGGGGAGAGAGAGGATCGCGATGTGCGAGAATCCAACATCACGATAGTCTCTTGGCCGTCCGTGGTAATGGTTAACCCCCCGAAGTTACGTGATTCACCTCAATCTCGTGTGGCTGAGCAGCATCTCGGACCCTCGACTTGGGAAATGAACGCCAGACGATAAACTTTGAGAGCGACACGCAAAGATTGAAGCGGTTCGTAGATAGTTCGTGAGCCTTGCAGCGGCTGCAGATCGCCGGGAGGCCGGCCGCCCACGCCTACGTCCCTTGTACTCCGTTGTTCCTTTATTTTCTTGATTAATCTTTTTATACTTTGGCTATGCTTGACGGCCATCTGCCAACGACTCAGCACCCGCCTGAAATCGTAAAACCTTGGAGAGGCCAATTTGTTTCGACGGAATTATTCTGCCCCCGTCACTCTCCAACTCTCACAACCCCAGCGTCAGATCCCGCTTCTCGTGTCCTTCGGTCACGATCCTCACGACGGGCGAGCGACGATCTCTCCTCTGCCCTGCTCCCGTGGTCCCATGTCGTCGGAAAAGCACGAGAAGGACGTTCCCCATTCAAAAGACATGGGCCGCAAGTCCCGTGATCGGGCTTTGAACTGATCCAGGTCCTCGGGCTTTGAAGCTCTGCTAGCGCGAGCCTGGGCATCCTCTCAACCCCAGCATGTCCGTCCACCTCCTCCGCCGTATCCTGTCAAAACGGCAACTTCCTGGGATCAGTCAGATCTGTCTGCCTCTCTGTGCCTCTCTGTGCCTCTCTCTCCCTCCTGCTGCTCGTGTGGACAAGGTGTTCCGCGGGTGAGCGATAGGTCTAGCTACCTAGGCACGGCTAGCAAAAGGTAAGGTAGCAACAAGCTCCCTAGGCTTGCCTGAGCTTAGCTGGTGCCAAACGAAACGGCGTCCATCCAGATCGGGTGCAGCGCGTGGCGTCCGCCAGACCTTTCGTATCGACGTATCCCTTCACTTTGTCGTCGTCCGTCCCCCGCGCGCATGCAAAGCTGCTGCGTGTCGACCCTGCAGTATGGGGTACCCTACGGCGCGAAGCGGTCGTACTTCGGAGCCTCTTTTTTTCTGATTGTACCGGTATCGTCATATGGGAGCACACCCCATATAGCCCTCTTCTCGGATTCCCTAGACTGAGAGCGGCAGGCCGTACGATAGTATACGCAGCCAGCCCAGGTGAAGAGGGTGGGTGACAGATGTACCCGTCCAACCGCTACCGCTGAATGGACGCCTATCCAAACCAAACACCGGGCTTTTTTTGTGTTTGCAATCCGGCTATTCGTATGTACTGATGGAACGTGGTAGGTAGATCGTCCATCCTTTAGGCTTTTCGAGACTTGAAGCCTGAAGACGGGGACTCGGACCACGGTACAGCTCGCCCCGATGTAACTTGTACGAGCGGTCATCATCCACGCCAGCAGATCTGTGAATGAGATCAACTGTGCCCCTCTAGGTAGGTAATTCGCCTTTAGACATTGGCCTTTAACAATGGGCCCGGGCCAATCTTGTCTTCCAGCTCTCACCTGTCACCGACCAATCTCCGGGAAGGGCTGGACCTTGGGCTGGGCTGGTTCCCCCTCGACCATCAACCCACCCCCCTTGTCCAAGACTACCTCTAACCGAAGGGCACTAACGCGGTGCCCGCGCGGCGATCGTCTTCGAGTGCCTCGGGTATTGTCCCAAAAACACTCTCTTGGTAAACCTTGGTCAGCAGCAGCGCAGGTTGAGCACGTTGTCTGCCGCGGCGCCGCTACCTCTGGCTGGGTACCGTCGTGCCGATCTCGAAGAAAAACCCACGCACCCGGACGGGAAGTTGATCCAACCATGACGGCCGATGATGTCGTTGCAGCCGGCACTGCGTCCTCCTGGGCAACCCCCGGTCGTGAGTCTTCAATTGCAACTTGCAAGATCATCCGGAGAATTCCAGGACAATGCGACGGTCGTGGATACATGAGGCGATTCTCACTCCATTGGGCGTATGTATGTATTGTTGTCGATGTCGACGATGGGGGCCGCAGGACCTCCTTATCCATAACAGAGCATGGGTGTCTCCGCCTACATACATCACCGCCATGATTATTATTGTTGTTGTTGTTATTATCATCATCATCTTCATTATCTAGTATACGTACGCGTTCTCAAGTCTCATCCGCCAAATCAATGTTTGGGATACCAACACCGCGAACACTTGGCCCCTGCGGAGGAAATGTCATCCGGATCCCATCTGCTGTCAATCATCAATCAACTCTAAAGTCAAACAATGGCAGCTGCCTGTCTTGCAACTCATAATGTGCCATGTGCGCTGCTTGGCGCATACAAGATCGTCCCTGAAGCACGAGCGGTGTCACGGAACGGGCAGCCGACCGATGTGTGTGTTTTGGTACGGGTTGTGCTTCAGCCCTCAAGGACAATTCAATGCCGGTCGCGAATCCGATTCCTCGGCCCCTACCTGCTTTTTCATTGCCAATTGCAGATCATCCATCACCGACCCGCTCATTCACTAGGGGTGAGAAGGGTCAGTTTGTGCAGAAACGAACGGGCCAAGATGTACTGTGTATCCGTATGTAAGTATAAACTGATGGCTGGGAAGAGGCGAATGGCAGTAAGACAAGGCTCAATCCTGTTTGCGTCATGTTTCTTGATACTTTGCCCCCCATCACACACATATATCCGTATTCGAACATAAGAGCAGTGAAGCACATCAACTCGCGCCGCAGTAGCTCCAGAGTCATTATGCAAAGTCTCACCAGTGATCACAAACACAAAAATTCCAGCCCTGCACCACATGGCCAACATGCTAATCACTCATGGCGGACACGAGCTGTAAAGACACTACGCAACTGCCGACCGCCTGGGCGTCGCGCACTATTCTAGTAGGTTTCGTCGTAGTAACACGCCGGCAGCCTCGTTTGCAGCAAAGCCACTCGGCACTTTTTTAACGACGACGAGGGCGGTAACTTCCGAGGTGCTCGGAATCGGAGCAACTGTTCGCGAACATAAACCCTAGGTGCAGGACGCCGTCTCTATCACTACCACCTAAAGTCAAATCTGGTCCCTCGTATGAAGGTGTCTCGAAACTTTGATTTCGAGATACTAGCAAATCGTTGCCTACACTAACGTCCCAAGGGGCCCTGTGACCCTGTACTGGAAAGTGTAATAAGTATAATGGGATCGATGATGTCGCCCGCTTGAATTCCGCCGCCAGCGCGTGTCTGGGCCAATGAATCCCATGGCTGGTACCGGTGCAACGGGCGTGACCAGATCCTTCTCTGGCCTCTCTCCGCGGCAGGTTCCTTTCAAGAGCGGCAGGGACGCTGATTGGGATGGCGGGACCCAGACGTGGACGAGGGCGTCGAGAGGATCTGTCGATCAGCACAGGGGGGGCCATCCGCCCAAGCCCAACCCTTGGCTCTCATCCCATCAGCTTGCTTTTTGAGAACCGGTCCCAAAGTCTGTTGTGCTGGCTCCACTATCACCATCCACCTTCACACTTTCTTAATCGCTCAACCAGAGTCAAGAGTTCCAAACGAGAGAATTATGACGGAAACGGCGTGAAGGAGAGAATGCCACTAGCTGAAGGGGAAATGAGGCTCAAACCTCAAACAAACATAGCAAGACATTTTGAAGACCACGAGAAATGTGTCTTCAATTGCAGAAACAGGCTCTAGTTTATCCTACTGTTCGTCGCCCGGCCTCGCCCCGTAAATCATTTCCTGTTCTTCAGAGTCGAGGCTCTTCCCTTTCAACGCTCGATCAAAGCAACTCATCTCCTTTGGCTAAGCCCCTAGAACGTCTATGGAACGACAAACCACCCCCGGATCCCCCTACTTGCCCAGTCCTTCGACCACATTGAGATTTCCGAGAGTGGGGGAAGATTAAGATGGGAAGAACAAGCACAGGCCAGAGCTTGCTCCCCATGCCCCGAGAAACGACGGCCGCTTGGGAATGAGTCCATTGGCAATTCGCAATCGGAGCCAGCTCCTACCATCGTAAGCCCTGAGGGCCGAGGCTTCTGCCCATGGCAAGCTGGCAGCATTGAAGATGGCCCATCTCGAGAGATTTGGTAATTCAACTCTCGTAACTTAATAAGCTGGCTAGTGCCTCCTGCGACTGACGCGGACAATCTCGATTAGATCTCGCTTCGGCCCCAAAAGAAGCGTCAGATTTGTGCGGATTGGAAAGACGGCTAACCGAGAGTTTCGGCTAGAGCTGTGGCGGCCGGGCATCATCTACGGCGTCCCTTAGTCTGAGAGATTTAAAGAAATTGAACCGCCGCTCTCCCAAAGCCACATCACACAAACTTCCGACTACAGGAGCTGTAGCTTGGTTTTCCCAGGCATCTACGGAGTACTGCAGCCTACGTTCTCTCGAATGAAATTTAATTGATCCTAAATTGACCCGACATGAACCTTTCCAGATGATAGTGAATAGACAGCACAGTAGGTAAACCTACCCTGCTTCATCTACATGCCCCCCCCTTCCCCTCCCTCCCAGCACCGTGTTCTCTGCTTCCCTTCCCTCTTCCCGGTGGGTCATCCCATTGGACGCCTCTCTCGAATCCTCCCGAAAGTTCCCTACGCACACGGCCGGATCCAAGGGGTGTGAAGAAGACCTGGCACTTGGGTACGGGATAGAACAGAAAAGCAGAGGCCCACGGGACAATCCTGTGATCTCCAGCCTCCGCGACGATCAACCAGGATTTCCCCTGCCCTGCCAACACACTCTTTCTTGACTGGACGACCCGAGAAGAACCACCACGCGAAGAGATGCAACCTCTTCTGAAAGCGTGCTAGATGAACATTAAAGAACCGTGGTCGAATGGGCTGGCTAGTCTTGCTTGGATACCCAGAAACCCGTTCTTTACCCATCACGCTAGAGGAAAAAGTAGGGCCCCTTGTTGAGAAGAGATGGATCAAGATCATTCGTTGACTAGGGGCGCTTTTGCTGCCCATCTCGCACGGGGTCTATCAAACTCTCGCAGGCCTCTTTGGAAGTTTGGAACTGCTCTGTATGTTGTGTTCTCTATCTCTCGCCCGTCGGCTGACTACTGACCCAACCAAGTTGCCGATTCTGGCCATCTGCATCTACCCATCTTTGTCTCTCGCTCTCTCTCTCTTTTCTCCACTACGGGATTGGATTACCAGATCTGTGGCCCTCGTCGACGAATCCTCCTTGGCTTTTCTCCTCCTTACCAGGGTTTCTAGGCCAGTCGAGAACGCTGAACTGCAAATTGCCCCTGGCAGCCCTCCCACGCCCCCTCTCCCACCCCTTCAAGAGATCGCCCATCAGGACGTCAAAGTAGGCACGCACGAGCACGTAGGGTCGGGATGGGCGCTGCGGCGCTGTCACTCTTTACCGTTTTCTTATTCTTCCGCCGTCTGGCTGTGCTTGTTTAAATCTCGTTCAAAGCCTCCAGGCGTCATCATGGCCTGACTCTGGCCGTTAGTCTTCCTCTCGTGCTTCCGCCTTGCCCCTGGGGCTTTGGGTTTTGGGGGGCTCTTCTCTTTTGGGTTTGGGAAACAAAATGCACCAGCCACACTTTGAGTAGCTCAGTGACACACAGACACACACCTCCTCGATGAGGCACCCCCAGTCCTCTCCCTACTAGAGCCTAGCCGCTCATCTCTCCAACGTCGCTTGGTGGACAGAAAACATTCCAGTCGACGACATGTTGTCTCTTCCTCCAGACTAATGATAACCTTTCGCCCTTACAGAATTATGATTTTGAAACCGCCATCATTTGGTCTGACTGCAAATGTTCTTCTTTTACTGCTTTTTGTCTTTTCTCCCATGTTCACGCAACGGGCGCTGCGGGTTGAACGATTCAGAAGCCTGGACTTTTCTCTCAAATTTCTATTAATAACGCCCAGCAAACCTGTCAATGCGATGAGATTGCCCAATCTGGACCATGTCCGGGATGCGATGTCCAATAATGTTTCTCGTTGTTTATTTTGCTTTTTCTTGAACAGTTTGTCTCGCAGCCCTGCAACGCCAACGACAATGGCTCACCTTTCGAGGTTTCCCCTGACTGTATCTTTAGGCTCTTTTATTCATTTCCATTTCATAATTGTTGTACGCGTTCAAATCTCCGTCACAGGCTCACAGCATGTCAATTTTGAATTTCTGAGCCATGCTGACTGGTGTCCCCCATGCCACAGGGGCAGATCTCGACCGAGAATGAGCTGGGGGGAGGGTCTCCTTCAAAGCTGCCGTTGAACGGGAACATGGGGGGTGGCAGGCGGCTGAAGGATGCAGCAAGATGCAACGAAAGCCACGTCGATGACCAGCACATGCTTCTCACCGTGGAATGCCGTTGCTGGGATTGATGGAAAAGCCAGCAAATGGCACGCACGCGCTTGTACCGTTCAACTACAACCAACCCTCGCGTCGAATGGCGCTGCGCCCGTCATCAAGAAGCTCGAGGCTTCATCACCCATGTGTCTCTATGCCGTCCTCGGTGCTGCGTCCCCCCAGGAGCTATAGCCACCAAGTGAGTGAGCAGCAGCAGCAGCAGCAGCCCGTCGACAGACAAGATGCAAGATGGGCTGTCGGGCAGCCTGCAGTGCAACACCAGACCACCGAACAGACCCCGGCAACGCTGGTCAGTCATCCTTTGGATAGGTTCTTCCCCATCCTGCTCAACGCGCAAGCCGGAAGGAGACAGACAGGGAGCACGCTGCGAGCTTAGCTCGTATGTCACCATGGTCTCATAGATTGGGTCCAGCTACGATATCCGTACCTCGGTCTCTGCATCTCGGAGGCGTTGCTGCTCCTGCTACTGCTGCTCCCGGTCAAAGTTTGCCGCATCGGCCGGGGATAGGAAGACCGGTACCAAGGCGAGCGGTCCAGAGACCATGGGTCCATTGGTTCGCATCACACATTAAGTCCGGTAAAGTACGGTATTGTTTGCCTGTCAAAAGGGAATGGTTGTTGGTCCATCTACACGTCCCGAGAGCAATGGGAATTTCATCCACTGCCGGCAAAGTCTGCAGGCCGTCCAGGCTCGGGGAGGCGGACGGACTTCCATGTTACTGCATTTGCCGCCCTGCGCCCTGTGCAATATCATCAAAAAGTACCTCCCCCTTCAGTTATCAATGATCTACTCCTTACGAAGTTACGAATACCCCCAATGAAAAATACGTGTCCGACAGACATGCAAATCCGCATAGCAGAGGCCCTGCCTCATCTCGACGAGTCGGCCGCAAGCGGGCCTTGCGGGGGAGCGCAATACGACAATTCAGAGGAGTTGGAACGTTGATGACTCGCAAGCCACATGGCTCGAGAAAAGGATCTTCCCTGCCTCCATTCATTGAGGCTAGACGACCGTTTGGGAATTTCTCAGAAGGGATATCCCCCTCACCTCCAGCCCTGTCAACAGGAATGCAGGCGGACTGGCGAAATGAGCCCTTTGCTGCTAAGCCGGTCCCCGGACCCCTGCATGTGGTCCCTATATCGGCTTTCTGTTAAGAGTCAAAAGAATACACCGGCGTTCCGGTTTGCTTTTTTTGACAGCTGTCTGACCCAAGACGGACTCAAAAGAAAAAGAGCAATAACAACGTCAGGAATGGGCTTCTCGTCCGGCGAACGGGGCTTCTGGTGTATCTCAATATTGCGACTCTATACCAGCGGCTCGCTACTCATAGGCAACGACGCAGGTTGAATGTGTGACATCCCTCGGAGCGGTTGGGTCGACTCAAGGGTCAATGCCCGAGGGCTGAGACGGAAACATGCAGCTTGCAAGAAAGGGCAACTCACGAGGGTCCCATTCAATATCGAGAGGGTACGATATGCGAGGCAAGGCACACTCAACGGAGGCTGGTGCACCACCAGTACCGCTGCATCAGTACTCCATACCAAGCACAAGCATCAAGCAGAAGCAGAAGCATCAGCACGAGTCTATCTGTTCCGAATTGTCGGGCGAGTTCCGGATATTGCTCAATGGTCCTTGCTGACAAAAAACCGGCTCCGAGTGGGAGAAGCATCTCTTCGAGACCAAAGCAGAAGAGCATGCATACTGGGGGCCCCCTCTAGGCTCTATCAACCTATCCCCAAATCGACAACTGCATCGTGGTCTTGGGTCTTCTTCCCCTGCCCTCTTGGCCTTTTTCATCCCCATCCAAAAAGCAAAAACACAACGCACCCCCTGATGCCGTCTCTCATCGGTGTGCTTGACGTTACACGGCACTGGGGTCTCAACTGCCAAGTCCCACCGATCACCGTCCTGAATAATTACCTTGACGTCGTTCATCGCGGGCGAGGCTCCGTCAGTACCGAGCATCTGGGGCCCTCCTTCCTGGCAACTGGGAACAAGGCATCTTGGACACCGGACAAAGGTTGGGTAAAAATTGGAGTCGTACGTCAAATGGTGACGGGCGAGCAGAAAAAGATCCCAAGAGGAGACGGCTCACATTACGAACTCTCAACGTATCTGCCTCTGTGGACTCTATTCGCAGGGAACTGCCTTAGCTTCAGTGGATGCATATCAAGAAAAACCCAGTCCACACAGTCCACATATCCTATCCAGCCATCCCCCTTCTCGACGAGGAGACCGGGATTTCAAAGAGAAAGGGGTGATCCCAGCAGAGACACGTTTTCCATGACCGTTTGTGGGCTCGCAGAAGCGTTGCGTCCACGATACGTACTACGCAACCCACCTAGAAATACGATCACGACTATTGACCGAGAAAAGGAAGAGGAGACGCAGAGGCAGGTATCATGACACAAACGGGAGGGCCTCCGAGTCGAGCTCAACCTCGATTCGGCGTACCGAGTACTGCTGCTGCTCCCCTCTCCATATTACCCTGGCAAGCAAGAAAGAGGCAGCGAGGCTGTGCTTGCATACATATCGAAAATCGTGGGACTGTGAGGGGGGTAAGCTGTGAGGTGCCGCGATTCAGAGGATCATTTCCCAGGATCTTGCAAATCGCAGGCGTCTTCCCGATTCCCCGAAGGCATAATACCGAAGGAAACTCAATATTTGACGAGGGGAGATGAGCATGTTCAGTGGGTGGGAACGGCGAGATACATCGCGGTGACAAAAACCCTCCGAGGGAACTGAATAATGGGCTTTCCATGGTCCTGGCTTCCTGGTCCAACACAACCTGACCGAGCGGATCCAGCAGTCTGGAGTCTGCCGTCCACCGCGCATGCTGTCATACAAAGTCCACTTGGAGGGGGGAAGGGGTGAAGTCTGGGTGTCTCCTGGAAGTTACTCTTCTTCTTCCAAGAACGAAACAAGTGACGATCAGCATCCTTCGAGCCCTTCATCCAACCTTCATTCCAGCAGATAGATGAAACCAACTCGCCGTAACTTCGTAAGCCCAGTACCATCCATGCGTACCGACATCAACTCTGTCCCGCCCAATTCTCTCTACACGATCTCGGCCGGTCTAGCGTTCAAAGCTGCCCACTCCACCCTTTCGTATATTGAGGAGAACGCGTCCTCGTTGGCCGACTTCGTGGGCTCACGCCTCGAGATCTCCCGTGGGCTCCCCTCTGTCGGCACCCACTAAGAACCCAGGCATCGTGGCACCCCAACGGTCCAAGGCTCGCCTCCTACAGGAAGTTAACGTTCATTCCCGCTTGGCACAGGTAATATGGCGCGATGCCCACAAAGCCAAAGGAGCCGGAGAGCGTCTACTCCGCAGGAGGCCCCCTTCGCACCTTGTGCCTAGGCATTTTGGCCCCCCATCTCTGTGAAGATCCTTGACACCACCTCCTTCTTACCTACGAAGAAAGGGAATGGGGCAAAATGGAAGTATCCGTATGGAAGACGCCGCATATGCGCTCCGTGGCTGCCGTACCAGAGATCACTTGGGTGATCACCAACGCATGGTCATGGGTGTGTCGGAAAAGTGACCAGCACGTCAACCACCATAAGTCCGGTCCCCGCCTCTTTTCACTCTCCTCCTGCAGACATCTCATTACGCATCCACGTTGCCCTCCTATATCGCTGCTGCCGCTCCTTCTCCTCCTCCTTAGCCTGCCTTATACGATGATAGACTCCGCTGGAATGCTTCAGGACAAAACTCGAGTCGTTAGTCCAAGAGGCAAGATCACTCAGCACGAGACACTCGTTGGCGATGATCAAGCACACAAGAGGGGCGTGTACTCCGTACTCGATACATGAAGATGGATGGATGCTCCGCAGAGAGGCTCGTGATATGCAGCGGTGAAGTAGAGAATCCACCACCCGCAGACACGCGAGAGAGCCGGACGGAGTTATACTTCCACCTTCCAACCTTCCACCCTCCCCCTCTCAGCCATTTTCTGTCATCTGCAGGCCTGTAAGGCCAGTAGAGAGCAGAAAAAAATGTGACAGCCCACAAGGTGCGATCGTGCTCGCAAATCTTCGCTCGTCAAGAGGGTCCTTCGACCTCGTCTGGGTTTCGGCCCATTGGCCTTTTCCAGTCACAAGTCTCACTGCCGGCCGCGGTATTTGCAGGATATAGCCTCATCCACTTTTACTTGCCTGCCTGTTTTGCCAATATGCCGTGCCTCCAACTGGCTCGGTCTTTCAGAGGAAGTGGAAGGGGGGTCTCGTTCAAGTTGAGGGTGGGGGCCAAGAATTCCGATGGCCTCTATCCGTATCCCGTATGCCATCCATACCTCTCTTTCTTTTACCATCGATTCTGGTTTAGTTGTTCCTCTTCGAATCTCTGCCATGCCTCCTAGGCAGTTGGCAACCAGAGGCAGTCTTGGGAAGAAAGCCTAGATTGTCAAAAGGTCCCATCCCAACGCCCTTACATGTCCCCAATTAACGCGGCCGCAGGCGCCACAATCAATGACTCCATGCTTCGAACCTGGAGTCTAGAAGCCTTAGTGTCATGGCAACGTTTACAGGGCTGGCGACGTAAGGAGTGATTGGCGGGAGATGTAAGGCGCGTGTGTGTCTGTGTGGTGGCATTTCCATACGTTCCAATAGTCAGCAGCCACACGGCAACAAGCCGAAGCGACGCGGCAGCAGCAAGTTAGCAACCCCCAAAGAAGAACCTGGGCCAACGAGACTTTCACATCCCGTCAACGGCGGATAGCGGGCGGACGGCGCGGGCTGAACGGTTCACGTTGTCAGTGGTGAAATTCCAAGCCCAACGTCCTCTGCGCCCGCTGCTGTATTGCTTTCCCAATCCCGTGTGCTGTCTTTCAAACGTCTCCTCATTCCTTCGAAGGGGAGGATGATGAGGAGGAGGGTAACCGCAATAACCATGACCGGAAACCGTAACACGGCCCGAGATTAGACTGCTCCCCGTGCTGAGGCAAAGCAAAAAAGGTGTGGTGATTCCCTCACCATGCACGTCCGCGGTTGGTGGCGATCCTCTTGGTCGTCCGTCAAGCCCAGCCTGTTCCCGTCCCATGAATGGTCACCGTTCTAACGTCGTTTATCCCCCCCCCCCCCCCCCTTTCCCGCGCCGCTGTGCCGCAGACGCGCCTTTCTAGCCTGGACATTTTGAAAGATCGACCCGGAAAGGGGTCATACGGCGCTCCGAGCTTTCGTCGTAGGAAGCGGCTACGCGGCTGCGGGTTCCCCTTGACGTGTCCCCTGCGCAGTGCATCACGGGCCTGCTGCTGCTGCTTGTCGAGCTTGGGTCTGGTTGTCGTTTGGTGTCTTTCTCTGGAGCCCTCCCTTTGGCTGCTTTGCGCGTTTATCCCAGTTCTTACCGTAGTAGACGTGGGAATGTATGCATATGGGACGTCTGGTCTGGGGTTCAGTCCGAGCCAGCAGCTAATGTTGACGGTCGATCTACCATTTCAGTCCAGTCCAGCAGCAGCAGCAGCAGCAACACCTCTCAGGCCAGATGATACCCACCCCCTCCCCTTGGAAGGTAGAGGGAATACGCAACAAAGGGCGAGATATTGCTCTCTCTCTCCCGAATCGCCCTACAGCGGACGTGCTCGTACACGCAATCTTTTGGACAGTATTGTTTGCTTCCCGCGGTGCTCCGTGCCCTGTAAATGCACGCTGCATGCGAGCTGCATCATGCAGCTTGCAATACCCAAGAAACGAACGTTTTGGCGATCCCGCAACGCGGACGTCACTTCTGTTCTCGGTAGGGCCATCCGGGGAAAAAGAAACGTCTTCTCAGCCGGAGAGACACTGGAATGTCTCGACTGGAGCGGAGAAACGTCCGGGGTTTGTTCGTTTCGTAGGCTGCTACTGGGCCATTGTCTCTCTTGCTCACTGTGTCACTATCTCTCGGTCTCTGTTCCTCTGCTTCTGCCAACAAACTTGCGAGACAGAGCCAGCGATCATGGGGTTGTGGTGGGATGGCCGAGGACGATATACATGGGTTTCCGCAGGATGTCTCGCTACCATGAAGCGAAGAAGGGGCCAAACCGCTCCCTCGTGGGCGCGGACGTTCTAGCTGCCGTTGTGGCTGGCCCTTGGAAGCTCACCAGTCTCGACTAGAAGCCGTAGCTACTTCGCGCGGCTTGAGACACCGCGTTTAGAAGAGCTGAATTGCCTTTCTTCGCCTGAACCCTACGTTCAAAGTAGATCGCTTCCAGCCTAGCTCTCTTCTTCTTTCAATGACCGGTTTGGTCCTAATCCTTCAGAAGAACGCCAGTACGGCTATCGTTTGACCGCAACCGGGGGGGGGGGGGGCATTTCCACTTCCGGGGACCCTACACGCGAGTCGGGTGGGCTGAGGGGCAGTTCGGGCAAATCCTCCCTGAAGCGCGACCTGGTCCGCTTAGGAACGCCGTTGCTGACCTTGCGAGGAATGTAGT